GCGCACATCGCGCCTGGTGTTTACCCGGGCACTCAACTCCCTAGTGAGAAGGGCTTGAGCACAGGGGAACAAGCAGGCTGCACTCACCTGCGCGCCCCCTTCTGCGTCCCTCCTTCCTACTTGGAGAGAGCAGCGGCCCTCTTCGAAGGACCTGGGACGGCCCAGGCCTCTCAGCAGGTGGCGGTGCAGCCCCTGGGACGGCTGGCACTTCTGGACCTTCCGACAGATGGCTGCCTGCAGAGTAGGTCAAGACGGTACAGCCCAGCCACTAGCTCTGTCCAGCTACCCAAACGCTCCAAGCGATCACCTCAAGCACTAGTAAGTCCTATTTCAAGCCAACGGCTCCCACAGACTTTCCCTTTACAGTGCCATATTCCAGAGAAACCAGATGAGGAGTCGAAGCCTCCTGCCCTAAAAGGGGCACTTGCTTTCAAGTAGCATCAACAATTGAGCAAGAGCCTCCCTTGACCCCAGGAAGGGTCCCTCTGAGCAGCCCATCCCCCAAGGTCATGGCCCCATCAGCCAGAACCACTTCTCAGCCCTTCTCCGCACACTCTGCTGTGGTCCCCAGAGGTTTCGGCCCGCTTTGTCCTCTGCTTCCTCCTTGCCCTCCATCGCCTTCCCATTCCCTCCTCCTCCTCCTCCTCCTCTCTCCGTGTTCCTTTCTCGTCCCCTTCTCTTCTGTTCCCACTTGCTTCCCCCTCATCCCTTCTCAGCTTCTCTTCCCATGCCTGTCCCCATTTGTCCCTCTCTTTTCCCTGCTCTCTCCTCTCCTCCTTTCTTTTTTTCTCTTACTGTTCCTCCTCTATCCACTTCTCTTCCTGGCTAAGACCCCCGGGGCGGGGGTCACTCTTCCTCGGACCCATTGACTGGGTGCCTGGAAGTAGAAGGTAGAGCGGGGTATCAGGATCCTGCTGAGGGTCACCTGACTCAGAAGTCGGTACCACCGTGTGCTTCCAGGAGGGAAGCATTTGAGGTGAAGAAACATCTACCTGCTGTTTATGCTGACTAGTGAGTGACAGCAGCCGATCTCCCCTGTGTCAGGCTTCATTCAAAACACTAGCAAGAGTCTAGGTGTGGTGGTATATGCCTTTAGCCTTTAATCCCAGACCTTCTCTGAGTTCCAGGACAGCTTGGTCTACATGGCAAATTCCAGATCAGCCAGTGCTATATATTAAAGTCCTGCCTCAAAAAACAGACAAACAGGGGCTGAAGAGATGGCTCAGACGTTAAGAGCACCGACTGCTCTTCCAGGGGCCCTGAGTTCAATTCCCAGCAACCACATGGTGGCTCACAACCATCTGTAATGAGATCTGGTGCCCTCTTGTCTGATACCCTCTTCTGTACATGCAAATAGAGCACTCATACACACAAAATACATAAATAGATAATTTTTTAAAAAGTAGCTGTTGTAGCCAGGCTAGTGGTACAGGCCTTTAATCCCAGCACTCAGGATATTGCAGAGGCAGGTTGATCTCTGTGAGTTCTAGGCCAGCCTGGTCTGCAGAGTGAGTTCCAGGACAGCCAGAGCTATATAGAGAAACCCTGTTTTGAAAAAACAAAACAAAACAAAACAAAAAAGTGTCTTTCACCATAGCTATGGTTTCCAGCACCATCTCTTCCATTCTTCCACAGCCGCTACCTGTTGCCTCACAGTCACAGCTGAACTGTAAGGGTGGGTGTGAAGGGTCTGGGAAAGGACAGCTCTCAACTGATCTGTTCATGTGAAGAACCCCGCAGACACACAGAACAGCCTGTCACACAAAGTCTCAGGTGATGGGGAAGACAGGGAGGGGGCCAGAGAAGGGAAGGAACAAGAATTGAACCTTACTATGCAGAGCAGAAGGCCAAGTCCCCCTTAAACTGTCCAACGGGGCTGAATAAATTATTTAATATTTAAAAATTGAGTATTGATAAGCATGGTGGCACACATCTGCAATGCCAGCAGTTGGGAGGTGGAAGCAGGACAATTAGGAATTTGTGGTCATCCTCAGCTACAAGTTGGAGGCTAGCCTGAGCTACATGAGACCCCATTTCAAAAATCCTGAATGAAAAGAAGGAAGAGGAGGGGGGAGAAACAAAGCAAATGCCTGAGTATTAGTCCCAGAAGCCCAATGCCTATAATCCCAACACTTCAGAGTCTGGGATAGGGGACTGGAGAGTTAAAAGCCAGCTGGGACTGCATAGTGAGATGCTGTCTACAGAAAACAAATACCTGTGGAGACACAGGCCTTTACTCCCAGCTCTCTGGAGCCTGAAGCTGGCAGATCTCTGTGACTTAGTCTCATGTATCTCAGGCTAGCCTCAAACTTGCTGGTAGCCTAGGATGACTTCAACTGATCCTCCCCCCCCACCTCCACCTCCACAGAGATTCAGCCATGTATTTTCATGTCAGGCATATGAGGTACTGAGGATCAAACCCAGGGCTCTTGGTTTTATTTTGTTTTGTTTTGTTTTGTTTTTGGGGGGGCGGGTGTTCCAAGACAGGATTTCTCTGTGGCTTTGGAGGCTGTCCTGAGAAGATGCCCTAGCCAGGCCTTTGTGCCTCCTCTTTAAGACTCACAGATCCACCTGCCCCTGCCTCTGCCTCCCGAGTGCTGGGATTAAAGGCGTGCGCTGCCACCACCCAGCATCTTGTGCGTGATTGTTAACACTGTCAACTAAGCTATATTCCCCACCTGTAATGTGTTATTATATAGTACTATTTGAAGAAATGGTATGTAGTTTTCTGCAATTTTGCCTTCAATCTTAGAGATTCAAAGAACCTTTAAAACCAGCCCTGGTTTAATTCCAGCATTTGGGAAGCACAGGCAGGCAGATTTATGTGAGTTTTAAGCCAGCCTGGTCTACATTGTAAGGTTCAGGTCGGGCAGGGCTACACAGAGAAGCAGCTCCATTGTCCCCACCATAGAATTGCAGGAAGAGACTGAGAGAAGTGCTCAAGGCATACGCCCACCAAGCTGTGGTGCCTAAGGAGAGAGTCAGGAGTTGAGAGAAAGCCTAAGGGCAGAAGCCAGGCTCTGGTGCCTAAAGGGAACCAAAGGCATGCAGCAGACAGGTGCTCTGGGCTTGGCAGAGTGCTAGAGCCCCAAGCCTCACTTACAGAGTTCAATATATCTTTATTGAATGATTCGGAGAGCAAGCCAGGGTAGCCCCAGATCTAAAGAAAATGAGCCAAGAAGCCCAGAGGTGAGACAGCTAATATCCTACCTTGCTCAATGGACTGACTGTCTTCTCCCTGATGCCCGGAGTTCTCCTCACCCCCTCACCACCCATGTTCAAGTTCCCCTGAGAGGATGCCCTAGCCAGGCGTTCGTCCCTCCTCTTTAAGACCCTCAGCTCCAGGCATGCCATGAATCTCCTGCAGCTCCCACTCCAATCACATGGTAGAGTAAGAGGAGGGTGTTCAGACAGCCAGTTAGCCGGTCCTGATGGTAGCTTGTGACTTGGCTTTCTGTACCTTCTGGGGTTTCCAGGTGGGCAGGAACTGGCTTAGTCCCCACCCTAGGTGATGGTGCTCCCTAAAAGCAAGAGAAAACTCCTTCCTCAGGTCCTCCAGCCCTTCAACCTGGCCCAAACTGTTTTTGGCAGATTTTGTGCCTGTTTCTCTTCCAGGCTGCGCTGTGAGAACTGCACTGCAGCCTCTTGGCCTCCTGCTGCCTCTACATCCTCTATCTGGCTGCCAAAGAGAGAAGCCTGAAGATGCATTGCCCCAGCTAACCTGAGAGGGACCTGCCTCAACCCTCTGCATATGGAGGCTGGACTTGGAAGACCTCAGAGACCTGCCACGCCCCTTGGATGAAGGTGGTGTCTACACTCCCTCCCCTGCACCAGTCTCCAGGGAACCTGTTTCCCGGGCCTAGCAGGCAGAGCAGGCCCTGGCCCGCCCAGCATTGCTGGCTCAGATTTCCCTACTTTCTGGTTTTCTCATCTCCCCTGCCCCAGGCGCCACTGCCTGCTCTCTCGCCCAGCCCCCACTCCCGGAACTGGAACCAGAGAGGGGGAGAATTGGGAAGGGGCCTAAGAGGGGGTGTGGGGCAGCCAGTTGGGCAGCACCAGGAGGGAGAGGCAGTGAGGAGTCACCCCTGGCCCAGGGCCAGGATGAGGTTTGGTTCAACCTCCTGCCCAGTCTGCCCCAGAGGCTGGCTAGGAGCCGATCAAAAGCTGGAATGACCCACCTCCCTGGCTGCTTACCAGCCTTTTTGCTGCTGTTCCCTCAACTAGGAATGCTCTTCCCGGGCATATATGCCAGTTGGAATCCTGTACTTCCTCCAGGACTGAGCCTTGATCATCTTTCACCCATAGACACTGTCTCTTGCTGCCCAAGAGCCTGAGTGTCCCCTCTAAAGGTTTACCTCCTCTTCCTCTGCTTTTGGAGCCCTGGACTCGCCTAGGAACCTCTGAATTCTCATTTGGAGCCTTCCCACATGTGATTCCCTCATACCTAGAATGCCTTCCTGTTTCCTTCTAGATCTGTAGGTCCCCTGGGCAGAGGCTTTGTCACCCAGGAAGCTGGTCCTGATGATGGATGAATCAGAGCTCCCTGGGGTCCTAAGGATCCTACACCCATCCAGGCTCTAGGAAATCCTGAATTCCATCAGTAACGGCCGCCCATGTGAGTTCAGTGTGAGTAACAGAGACAGACATAAGGGACTAAGATCCTTGCTTGTTATCCTTTTATTTTATGTGTGTGTGTGTGTGTGTGTGTGTGTGTGTGTGTGTGTGTGTGTGAGAGAGAGAGAGAGAGAGAGAGAGAGAGAGAGACAGACAGACAGACAGAAACAGAGAGAGAGACAGAGAGAGAGAGACACACACACACACACAGAGAGAGAGAGAGAGAGAGGAAGGTGGGGCTGAGAGGACTTAGCTCACTGACTTTGAAGTGACCCCTGACTGAGGGCCATCCTGAGCACATCCTGTTTAGACAGAGGCCATATAGCCCTTCTGCAACCCATCAGGCCTGACTGGCCTGCTCTGGGAGCCAAGAGCCAGGCCTAGAACTCCATGCATGTTAGGCTCTGCAGAGCCACACCCCCAGTAAGAGTTGGAGTGACAACTCGGGTTTCTTCGGTGTGCATGGCATAGATGTCTCCTCTAAGAGCCTGATCAATGATTACTGGGCAGCAAGGCAATGGAGCTGGCTAAGGACACTACCATATCAGTAATCCTGGCCTTGCCTGGCTCTGTGGGCAATTCTTCCTCCGGGCAGTTCAGGCCCAAAAGCCTGGACTCTTATATTAGCAAATACTTACAGTTTCACCTTTACAATGTGCAAAATGCCAGGTGACTCTGGATAACCACAGCTTACTTAGCAGCCAGGGCTGCCACCTCCACAAGGCCAACTTCCCCTCTTATCTGACACTATGAAAGCTGCCTCCTTGTTCCCCAACCCCCACTCTTTCCTCCCACAACTTAGGCAGGATTCAGAGTGGCTCTGTTAAAATGGATGATGCCAGGTCATAGTTCTGAGCTTACCCAAAGCTCTCCAGGGCTTCTACTTTGTTGAAAGTCAAATCCAAGTTGGATATAGTAGCACACACCTATAATCTTAGCACTCTGGTGGCTGAGGGAGGAGGATAGTGAGTTCAAGGCCAACCTGGGCCACATAGCGAGATGCTCTCTCAAAAAGAAAAAAACAAAAAAGAAAGGAAGGAAGGAAGAAAGAAAGGAGAGAGGAAGGGAGGGGAGAGGAGGGCAAGAGAGGGGAGGGGAGGGGAGGGGAGGAGAAAGGGGGAGGGAGAGGGAGGGAAGGTGGGGAGATGAAGACAGCTTGGAGCATCAGTGGTCAGAATGAACCCAGAGAGAAGACAGCAGCCCAGTGCAAGCATGGAGTCAATGTGAGCATGTGTGCAAGAGTCTACAGGAAGAACTTTCAGGAATAGTCAGTATAGAGGCCCTGAGGCTGGGATAGCCCAAGTGTGTAAGAGAGGGCAAGAGTCAAAGAGGTAGTGATGGGAGACAGCCCATCTAAAGACAGCATCCACCTTCTCCTCCTCTTTTTTTCTTTTATTGTTGTTTATATTACATTTTTGTTTAGTATGGGAGGAAGTCAGAGAACAACTTGAAGAAGCCAACTCTGTTTCCATCGTGTGGGACTTGGGGAGCAAACTCTGCCTTTTAAGTTGGAGAAGAATCCACCTGGAGTCCTTGCTACTGCATGACCTATTCTCATGTTTAATAGTTAGTCTGCCCCAAGAGGGCAGGAAGGTCTGTTCTGTGTGTTGCTTCTGCAGATAGTGAGTGAGTGAAAGACTCATTTGGGGTTGAGGGGTGCTACATATTCTGACCTTTTTGCTTGAAGTGGGATCTCTGCTCGAACTGGGGGGGGCACCGTGGGGCCTCTGCTCACATGGTGGGGGAGGACCATGGAGCCTCTGCTGGCACTGGGGTGGGGGAGGACCATGGGGCCTCTGCTGGCACTGGGTGGGGGAGGACCATGGAGCCTCTGCTGGCACTGGGGTGGGGGAGGACCATGGGGCCTCTGCTGGCACTGGGTGGGGGAGGGCCATGGGGCCTCTGCTGGCACCGGGAGGGGGGGGACCAGGGGCACTGGGTGGGGGAGGACCATGGGGCCTCTGCTGGCACTGGGTGGGGGAGGACCATGGGGCCTCTGCTGGCACTGGGTGGGGGAGGACCATGGGGCCTCTGCTGGCACTGGGTGGGGGAGGACCATGGGGCCTCTGCTGGCACTGGGTGGGGGAGGACCATGGGGCCTCTGCTGGCACTGGGTGGGGGAGGACCATGGGGCCTCTGCTGGCACTGGGTGGGGGAGGACCATGGGGCCTCTGCTTGCACTGGCGTGGGGTAGGGATGGAGGGGTCCTAATTTGATCATTCTCTCTTAAGAACTGGCCTCAGGAGAGACATGTCTGAAAGCAGCAGCTGCAGTAGCAAGGACTCCAGGTGGATTCTTCTCCAACTTAAAAGGCAGAGAAACTTTCTAGGGGCAGACACAGTCCCTTGGGCAGAGGCAGACCTCAGGGCTATGAGAGACCCCAGCAGCTCACTGACAAAGCGGACCATGGCAGCTCTGGTCTTGTGAGGTTTCTGGCTACCTCCCAGGACCGCATCTGCTGTGCACACTCCCTCCATGTGTCTATGTGGCCCCGTCCTGGGGGAGGGGGGCCCAAAGAGGGTTCTGCAGCCAGGCTTGCAAGCAGGGATCTGGACTTACTTAGTTCCAAATGACTGGGGAATGTCCCTTCCGTGACAGTGGTGCTGGTGGCTTGCCTCCCCCCAACCCCAGTCCCTCTCTCCCAGCAGGGGAGTGGGGCCCAGATGAAGGCAGCCCCCACCATAGGAGGGGGAAGGGCTAGTACACAGACACTGGGCACCCTGCCATCAGGCCTTCCTCCCAAGGCCTGGTTACAGGTCATCCTAGAAGAGGGGTTGCAATTTCAGGTCACTATCCCTTCCCTCCCTCCAGAGATCTGAGGCCAGAGCATCCCAATTAAATCCCCAGCCTCCTTGATCCAGGAATCAGAGTTTTCACCAGCAAGGCCTCTGAGGCATAGCGGCATAGCGGCACTGGGATGGGCCAGCCAGGAATGCTCCTTCTAGAGCAATCTCCCCTTTACAGGGCAGAGCCTTAGTGCTTTGGAAGGTGTCAAGGCAGCAGGGTCAATGCCAGGCATGTGTGCAGGAGCTAACTCAGCTCTGGCCTCACTCTGTCTTTCCAAGAAGGCGGCTCTTCATGCTCAGTGTTGTTGCAAAGCCAAGTGGGTACCATTCTGTCTTGGGAGGGCTTGTTTTTCAAGCATAATTGGGCATAGTGGGACCATCGCCATATGTGGTCTCCAACCCTTCATCCAAGGATGGGGAGGGGACATCCACCGTGCTGTTAGAAGTCGGTGGAGTCCTAGGATCAGGCCTTTGGCTGCACATCATCACATATCCACTGAACAGAGACCTAGAAGAATAAGAGTGTACCTGATTTTGTCTGTGGATTCCAGACCAGGACCCTCTTGAATGTTGGGGTGCAACCTCTGAAAGGGAAACTTGACCAGGACTGCCTTGAGGGTGATGGGGGAACGACATGTTTTTATTTCAATTTAATTAAATGTATTTATTTGATATAGCATCACAGGTTGGCCTCCAACTCTATGCAGATGAGATGACCTTGAACTTCTGACCTTCCCACCTTCACCTCCCAAATGCTAGGACTACAGGTATGTGCTACCCTACCCTACCAGATCTGGTTTTATGTGATGATACTTTATCAAATCCAGGGCCCCATAAATGCTAGTAAGTAATCTATCAGCTGAGCCATACCGCTAGCCCTGGTTCAGATTTTAAGGTATTCCTCTGGCTGATAATGGCCCTAAGAGAGAAAGTTGTGGATATGCAGGAGAAAGGCCCCAAATCTGGCTGGGACACTGGGGTGTTTCTAGACCTCTTCGGACCTCCTCAGCTTTCTTTTGAATTCCAACTCATTGGGTATGGCCTAGATTTTGGATTGAAGATCCATCCAGGCTACCTCCCTGGCTCTCCTACTCTCAGCTTGGCAAGTCTCCCTCCCCTCCCCTCCCCTCCTACAAGACTGATTTAAACCTTAATCTGAGGACAAGTTTGTACAAAGCTCTAGCTTGCTGTCAGAGGAGCAGGTACCAACCTAGATGGAGGGATAAGAACTTGGAGAGGGAAGGACTAGGGAGGGGCGTGGTTTGTTTGAGACAGAGAAGAGATCTCACACTCTGCCCTCCTGGCTTGAGAATCCTCAGAACAACTTGGGGACTTTGTTCCTGACAGCCAGTAGAATATTCATACATCTACTGCCTACTGTGTGTCACTCCTGTCTACCAGCCATACTGGTCATAGCTGACTGCAAGGAGGCTCTCTGAGGCTCACAAAGCCCTCCTGACCATCGATCAAAATAGCCCACAACAATCATGCATGCATATAGTGTGCGTACATGTGGATAAAGCAGTCATATGCATAGAATAAAAGTTTAAAAGAAAGGAACATACAGGTGTTTATAGGTGTGTGTGTGTGTGTGTGTGTGTGTGTGTGTGTGTGTGTGGTGGCTGAAGCTTAATGACAAGGAAATCGTCCTCTATCATTCTTCTTTTTGCTTTTGTTGGTTTTTTGAGACAAGGTTTCTCTGTGTAGCCCTAGCTGTCCTGGAACTCACTCTGTAGACCAGGCTGGCCTTGAACTGACAAAGGTCCTCCTGCCTCTGCTTCCTGAGTGCTGGGATTAAAGGTGTGCTCCACCACTGCCTGGCTCCACTATCACTCTTCTCCTTTATTCTTTGAGGCAGGGTCTCTCAGTTTAACCCAGAGTTTGCAGATATGGGTAGTTTGACAGAGATTCTAAAAGGACGGATGGGCCAGCATGCTCACCCAGCATTTACATGGCTTCTTCAGATCTGAGTCCCTTTGCTTGTTCAGTGAGCTCTTCAACCTCTGAGCCATCTCCCCAAACTCATTTTGTCTTCTTTCTTTTTTTTCTTTTTCTTTTTTTTCTTTTTTTTTTTTTTTTTTTTTGGTTTTTCAAGACAGGGTTTCTCTGTGTAGCTTTGGAGCCTATCCTGGCACTCTCTCTGGAGACCAGGCTGGCCTTTAACTCACAGAGACCCCCCTGCCTCTGCCTCCCGAGTGCTGGGATTAAAGGCGTGCGCCACCAACGCCCGGCTTTGTCTTCTTTTTTAAGGAAGGAATTTGATATGGGGGTCTTTTTTCAAATTTTTATTTTTTACTTATATATATATATATATATATATATATATATATATGTGTGTGTGTGTGTGTGTGTGTGTGTGTATGTTTTTGCACACATACATGACAGTGTTCTTGGAAGGTACAAGAGGGTGATGAACGTCTCTGGGAGCTGTAGTTACAGTTGGCTGTGGTGCTAGGAGAGATTAGCAAGTACTCTTGACCATTGCGCTATCCCTGCAGCCCCAGCTACAGGGCTTTTATATATATAGATCAGATTAACAAGAACTCAAGACACCAGGTGGTGGTGGCACACACCTTTAATCCCAGAACTTTGGGAGGTGAGGACAGCCTGGTCTACAGAGTGAGTTCCAGGACAGCTAGGGCTACACAGAGAAACCCTGTCTCAAAAAACTAAAAAAAAAGGAAAGAAAGAAAAGAATTCAAGACCTCCTGCCCCATCCTTCCTAGGGCTGGATTAGGCAGCTCCACACACAGTTTTCTCTTAGAAAGCAACCCTTAAAACACAACAAAAACAATGCTTTCCTTGTTGTCTTCTAGTCCACATTGACTCAAGTCCTCCAGTACCTGTCTCAACCTTGAAGCAGCTACCCATCCTCCTCTCCAGGCACCCAATTCCTGCAAGCCTGAGGAAATACACACGCCGGCCCTGCGGCTAGAACCAGGAAACCCCAGCCCTTCTAGCTCTTACTGGTCTCAGGACAGCTGTCATGGGACTATCTGTCTCTGACATGGTTATCGGGAGATAACCTCAACAGTTAATCCTCAGTGCTTCCATTTCCCTCCCTGGAGGGGAGCTGTCTGTCCTCTGCATTATTTGCTCATGCTCAGACCTTCAGTGTTTCCAGCAATGAGGGATTCCAGCTGAAGGCCGGCCTTTCAATTTTTTTGTTATTGGGGCTGGAAGTATCTCAGCGGTGAAGAATATTTGCTAGTCTTGCAGAGGACCTGGGTTCAATTTCCAGCACCAACATGGTGGCTCACAACTATCTAAAATATAAACCATCTTAAAAAAAAAAAAAAAAAAAAGGAAAGAAAGAAAAGAATTCAAGACCTCCTGCACCATCCTTCCTTGGGCTGGATTAGGCAGCTCCACACACAGCTTTCTCTTAGGCTCACATGACTCACATTCATACCCATAAAATAAATTTAAATTATTTTTGTGTATTTTTTGGGGGGGGCAGGGTCTCTCTATACAGGCCTGGCTGTCCTGGAATTTACTATGTAGACCAGGTTGGCCTCAAACTCACAGAGATCCACCTGATTCTGCCTCCTGAGTGTTGGGATTAAAGGTGTGGGCCACTACACTTAGACTAAAAACATTTTTTTGATTGATTGCTAGATTGAGACTGGGTCTTTTGTAGCCCAGGCCTTATGAAAGTGTTATGTAGCTGAGACTGGCCTTGAATTCCTGATCATCCAGCCTCTACCACCCGAGTTCGGGAACCCAGGGCTTCAAATATACTAGACAACACTCTACCAACCTAGCTCCATCCCAAGCCCCTCCAAGGTCCTAATCTCATTTAGATGGGACTGGGGGTGGGCTCCTGTTGGCATAGAACTTCAGGGAACGAATGGCATTTCCCATCATGGGCCAGGTTAGTCTCTGGGGTAGCATTCTCCTGAGAAAGGTTGAGCATGGCTAGCCCCAGAGAGGCCAGTCTTTGGTCATAATCTAGTCCAGGGTCTGGGGCCTTAAAAGATATGATGAAGCCTGACTGCCAGGGCCTCCATCACCCTGGGACTTTCAGGTGGGGAGGTAAGGACAAGGCAGGGCCGAGAGCACAAGGCATGAGTGATACCTTCCTCTGTCTCCTAAGAGGTCCCCCTGGCCTGGTCCAAATACTCTCCCTAAAAGCTGCCTTTGCCTTGCCCAGTCAGCCTATGTTCTGTTAGCTCCAAGGCACAGGTTCTCAACCCGTGGGTCATGACCCTTTGGGGGTCGAAGGACCCTTTTCACAGGGGTCACCTAAGACCATAGGAAAACACAGGTGCAGGAAGGGCCACGGAGATGGCCAGGCAGCCCTGGAGCTGTTTGACTTGACTGCTTTTCACTCCCCCACCCTGCACAATTTGGGAGCAGAGTTTATGTGCAGAGCTGTGTAGCAAGGCCGCTGGCAGGACCAGGACGCAGGGGGTTTTCATTTATCCCTGGTGTTCTCACCTTAAAGTGGGAGCACATCTGTTCCTCACCAGGTTGTAGGAGATTCAAATGAACCTCCATGAACAGATTCCTGAGAGCTGTCGTTAGTATGTGTAGTGCATTCTCCCCAAGTTGTTATAACTTATTGGCCCTCCCTACTAGTGACAGGGAGACCAAAATGCCAATATCAGGGACACAGGGGGCCTGTCTGGAATTGCTCTGCTGGACTCCCAGAAAAGAAGGAGCAGGAGTGGCTCATAGCTGCTCTGCTATGACCCTGATTCCTGCCACTGCCTCTGCCTCTGCTTGTCAGGCGTTCAGGCCCTGTAGCAACATATATAATACCCACGTTCACACCCACTGGAGCCTCCTTAGGGAAGGCTGCCTCATTTTCCCCCTGGGAGATTACCTGTTTGCAGGCTGTCATGGGAACACAATGTTAGAAAAGCAGGCTACCTGGACTCCTGGGTCCCACCCTGCCCCTTCCTTAAACAGGCCCTGGCCAGCCTCAACCCTTGATGTCCAGCCCAGAGTTCCTCCAAACTGTGATGGACCAGGAACTGTAGGAATCCGCATGCACGATGAGGTTCTGGGGGTCAGCAGGGAGACCTTCCGACCTAGGAGCAGGCATAGAAAGAAAAAGGTGAAAGCTAGATCTAGAGTTAGGTGAGGGGTAGCTGGTCAGAGGGGAAGCAGAGATGCAAAGAAACAGCCAGCCTTTCACAGGGGGCTGGATGCTCATGGAGACCCCCAGCCTGTGGGACCTTTGCTGCCTCTATTGATTGACTGAGAACTCTCTCCAGAGGCACAGGACACCTGTGCCTCTTTAGGCCATGTTGCTTTCACAAATGCTGACAAGCTGGGGACCTCAAGGTTTCTGGGAGGGCACAAGGCCACAGTGTCCCTGTTACCTTCAGTGCCTACCTTCCTAGTCCTCCTCAAACCTGGTTTCCACTCAGGCACACCCACTGATGATCCCTGGGCGGAGGCAGGGCCCCTGCTTCCAATGGCTCCTTTCTAGTTAAACATTTATGACCCTTGATCATAAATGGTGAAATTGAGGCCCAGAGAGAGGGCCTTGTCCAAAGTGCCAGGGAGCAGAGGACTTCACTTACATCAGCATCCTCTCAGGTCCTGGCAATGCCATTCACAGCAGGAAGAGTCGGACTCTGGCTGCTCTGGCTGCAGGCTGGATGTCTGGTGTTTCTGGCAGCCTTGGTAGTGCCTCTCTGAGTCCTGCCCTGCGCACTCCCCAGTGGCCCAGGCAGCGCTTCCCACCCGTGTGACTCTGCTTCCAAGCCGGTTCTCCTTGTCTTGAAAGCCTCTTTTCTGCCCCTCACTGGCCTCTCTTGGGCTGGGGGACCCTCTGGTTAGCTCCGTATCCTTCCTGGGGGACTCCTCCTTGGCAGCTGTGGCTCCTCTAAGTGCTTCTGAGGAGTCTGGGGAGACCACCTCGGCTAGAGCTAGGGACAGAGGCTAAGTAGAGATTCGGGGCAGGGAGCACTGGAGGACAGTCAGCCTCAGTCTCCCCCAAGGGGCTGTCTGTGTTCCAGGTGTCAAGCAGGCTCTAGACTACCCCACCCCCACCAGGTGTGAGGCTTCCGGCACCTCAGAGGCCCCTTTGTCCCTTATCTTCTCTGCCTCTTTGGTGGCAGCATGCAGATAAGCATCCCTTTCTGGGCTGAAATTCCAACCTGGCAGCTACTCCACCCCCTGGGGGTCTGGGACCTGCCAGCTGCACACTCTCCCGGGACCCACCCAACACGTACATTCCACCCACAGTTCTCCGCTCTAGCTCACATTTTTCTCCCCTCCTCTACATTTGAGCCAGGGCCCCCCACTACTCTCTTGACCATGTACCCCACATCCTCACCCCTGACCCTCCACGTTTTGTTGACAGAGTCCCCCCTCTTTTGACCCTCATAGCTGGGGATGGAGAGCATTGCAGGTGGGGTCCCTGGCCTACCAGGGGGAGACTGAAGCCCAGGAGCTGACCTTTGTGTGATCTCAAAGATCCCCCACGCCAGGGCAACCCCGGACACGCCCCCTAGGCTTCCTGGACCACCCTTGTCATGGACTCTCCGTCTCCATCGCTCAGCCCCGTCTCAGCCTCTCTTCTTCCCTGTCCCCCCTCCCCCCTCATTAAGCCTCCTAAACCCGCCAGCTCCCTGAAGCAGGAAATTGCATTCTGCCAAGATTAAATGGACTTGAACGCCCTGCCTCTGCCCGCAAGGGAGGGGAGCTGAAAGGAGCCAAGTTTGTTGGGGGTGGGGGTCAGGTCCCTGAACCCCAGCTAAGGAAAGAGGACCTAGCAGGGTGGGGTATCTCGGGGTGGGATGGGGGCTTCCTGAAGGACAGAGGGGAGAGGACGGCGGGCCTGAAGTAAGGCAGGGTCAGAGAATTATGCCCCCTTCTCACTGCAGTGGGATGGAGAATCAGTGAGAGGAAGCTATTCAGTGGGGGCAGGGGCAGGTTCTGATGAGGTGGGGGTGGGGCAAGGGGCAGGAGGAAATGGTGATTGGGAGGTGAGAGAGGGTGCCTGTCTAGCTGAGGCCCAGTCAACAGGAAATGGGACGTGAGCTCTCATGGGTGTAGGCCTTGCTTTTTGGAGTACCCAGTGGGAGGAGTTGGCACATCGCACTCCTGCGATGGTCCAAGGTCTCACAGCAAGGGCACAGCTAGAGTATGCATATGACCTTGGGTCCTCCGGAACCCTTTACACAGTCCTGAAAGCATGCAGGACCCTACAGCCCACAGCCAAACATTGTCTGAAAAGTGTCAGCACACAAAAACCCAGGGCTGTGCTCAGGCCTGTACTTTTTTTTACATGGGATGCTAGCTAAAGCAAGATACAAGCGCCAAGTCTGCTCTGAAGACAGAAGACCCAGAGAGCTCTGAACGGACCAAGGGGAAAGCTGTGCCAAGGCTAACCCCAAGGCTCAGACTCTACTCCTATTGAAAAGTTTCTGCACCCCATAAGCCTCTCTGCTGACCCAACAATCCAAATCAGACTAAATCAAACCAAATTAGAAAAAGCCCACGTTGAATGGATACAAGGCTCCTGGATGACCTTCCAGTCCATGTTGTGTCCCCCCCACCCCCAGAGAGGAGATGGGAAAGAGAGACTAGAAAACCACATGTCTATTTTCTGGGAGGCAGTTTAAATGCCCTGTGGGAGTGGTCTTGAGCATCTCTGGGGGAAGGGTCGTCGTTTGGGGGGCTTTCCAAGATGCAGCAGGGTTTGGAGGGAGATAGGGGAAGGGAGCTTGGGGGTAGAACTTCCACCAGAACATTCCAGACTCTTTGGATATATGGATGCCAGGGGCTGGAGTGAAGCTTCCACTGTAACATCTATGGTCCTCACCAGCCACATATCTCATCAATGAAGACACTCATTCCCATTTCCCAGATGAGTGTTCTGAGGCCAGACAAGCTGCTTCCCTTTTTGGGTCATAGGGTTCCCCCAAGGCTAACCCCACAAGTGAGGAGAGTAGGAGGTGGGTCAGACCCATCCCTTCCTTCCCAGAGAGAGGGGAAAAGACGAGTAGGCTTCCATGGCACCCTGGGTCTAGTCCCATGTCTAAGGCAAGCCATGGCCTTGAAGAAACACAGAGGAGTCCGGCCTGTTAAGACTGATCACATGTCACCTTGGAGTTGTAACCAGAGACTTCAATGCGTAGCTAGTAGTGCTATCTATGCCAACCTGTTCTTGGTCTTTGGGCCATGATAGGCTCTGGGACACTGGGAAGGACAGCTTGGCTCCTTCAATGTGGTTTCAAGAAATGACCAGTTGAAGCAGGGCTCACACCTTTAATCCCAGCACTCAGGAGGCGGAGTCAGGCAGATCTCTGAGTTGGGGGTTAGCCTGGTCTACAGAGCAAGTTCTAGGATAGCCAGAACTACACAGAGAAACCCTGTCTCAAAGGAAAAAAAAAAAACAAGAAAGAAAGAAAGAAAGAAAGAAAGAAAGAAAGAAAGGAAGGAAGGAAGAAAGAAAAAGGAAGGAACGAAGGA